TCAAGTGAGCACTCAGCAGATCCATGGGGGGAGGGGTCTGCTTCCTGAACCCAGACTGGTTCCTCAAAGCCAAACTTCAGGTTCTGTTCTGGATCCACAACTCTGCTGCAGCTTTTTAGATCAGCTGGAGGCTCTGACAGAGTTTCTGGGTTGGAACAGAAACGGAGAACCAGCAGAACTAGTGATGGAGCAGCTTTTCTGCTCCTCTGAGATGGGAAGCTCCTCGTTTTGGGTCATAATGAAGGAAGAAGGCAGAAAAGTCGTTTAATGAGAGTCAGAATAATAATCAGAATAATAATCAGCGTTCCTCCTCTCTGATTAAAGTCTCCAGAGGGACTAAAGAAGCAGATGCTGACATGATGTGGCCTGATCTCCTTCTTAAACCTCGTTTCTCAGCTGCGTCTGACCTCCTCTGCTCTCTTCTTCCAGGAACTTCACCGACCAGCTGAGGAAGATCTCTAAAGACGCGGGGATGCCGGTCCAGGGCCAGCCCTGCTTCTGCAAGTACGCGCAGGGGGCCGACAGCGTGGAGCCCATGTTCAGGCACCTGAAGAACTCCTATGCCGGCCTGCAGCTCATCATCGTCATCCTGCCGGGGAAGACGCCCGTCTACGGTAGGCCGGCCACTCTGTGGCCCCCAGGCCCCGCCCCCCAGCGCCAGCCAACCAGGGGCGGGGCCTGACCTGTCTATTCCCACCCAGCTGAGGTGAAGCGGGTCGGGGACACCCTTCTGGGAATGGCCACTCAGTGCGTTCAGGTGAAGAACGTGGTCAAGACGTCCCCCCAGACACTGTCCAACCTCTGCCTGAAGATCAACGTCAAGCTGGGAGGCATCAACAACATCCTGGTGCCACACCAGAGGTAACCCCCCCCCATCCCCCAGGTGCCCCCCCCCACAGCCACCCACCCCCGCCCCCCCACCCCCCCTCTCTGTGGCCTCCCCCCCACAGGCCGTCGGTGTTCCAGCAGCCCATCATCTTCCTGGGGGCTGATGTCACCCACCCCCCAGCTGGAGACGGCAAGAAGCCGTCCATCGCAGCGGTGAGCGCGCACGCCATGCGTCTGGGGGATAAGCCCCGCCCCCTGCTGCACAGGCCACTGTGCATGCTGACCCAGGGTCTTCAGATGCCACTCTGCAGTAGAAACGCAGACAAATGTAAATTAGGAGCAGCAGGGACGAAAAAGGAGAAAATGATCCCATCAGAGGTCTCAGAAACACCAGAAAATCATCAAAATAGGTTAAAAAAAACTACAAAAAAAGCTTAAAACTGCCAGGATTCACAGCATGAATCGATTAATTTAGAATTAATGGAACCATTTTATGATTTGGAACGAATAATGAATAATAATAAATAATTAATCCAGCTGTGAATTCAAACTCAGCTCAGACCATCTGTCACTTCACACCGATCCGATTTTACCGCCCTTTTTCTGTCAAAATGTGTAAAACAACTTAAAATTTCTAGGATTAAAAATACTTTATGTTTTCCTGAGATTTCTATCTGTATAATAAAGGAGAAAAACTGGCTTTCTGCTCCAACAGGGGGCCTGGTGGAGCCCCCCTGAGCTGAAACTGAGCCCTGAATGGTTTTTTGGTTTTAACTCCCACATGCGGTCGGGGGGGCGGCTGGTTTAGGGGCTCACCTCTGACCCCCCCCCCCTTCCCTTCCCTCCACAGGTGGTGGGCAGCATGGACGCCCACCCCAGCAGGTACTGCGCCACCGTGCGGGTCCAGAGGCCCCGGCAGGAGGTCATCCAGGACCTGGCCTCCATGGTGCGAGAGCTCCTGATCCAGTTCTACAAGTCGACCCGCTACAAGCCCACCAGGATCATTTTCTACCGGGACGGCGTGTCCGAGGGCCAGTTCAGACAGGTCAGGACCCCCCCGCCCCCTCTGGGAGTCCCCTCTGGACCCAGACCTATTCATCTGGACCCCCTTTAGCCCTCAGCCCCCCCTCTGGGAGTCCCTCTGGACCCAGACCTATTTTTCTGGACCCCCTTTAGCCTTCAGGCTCCCCTTTAGGAGTCCCTCCAGTCATCTGGACCCCGTTTAGCCCATCGGCCCCCCCTCTGGGAGTCCCTCTGGACCCAGAACTATTCATCTGGACCCCCTTTAGCCTTCCTGAAGGCTCTGCTTCCCATTTTGCTTTAAAAACTCTGGAACCAGAACCTGCTAGAACCTCCATTTGTGATGGAGCTACTCCCTCAGAGCTTAACTCCAGGTTCTGGTTCTGGTTCTGGTTCTGAGCTGAAACTGGGGGAGTGTGAGCTCTGCTGCTGCTTTTGTGGCTCTCCAGATGTTTCCTGTCTGACTGCAGCTGTGTGCAGGTGCTGTGCTACGAGCTGCTGGCTG